ATATTTTATTTAGACAGAAAACATTATTTTTATCGCATCCGTTTTCGAAATATTCGTCAAAACCTGATAGATTACATACTTAAATTCAGCTTTAAACGTTTTGCACTGTTCTGAAGAATTATGGACGTTGTACAATTACACCTGACAATGTAAATTCTACATTGTTTTAAAGAGTAAATGAATACTAAGTCATATAAAGGGTTTAATAAGAACTAAAAGCGGGAACGTAACAACAGCGACGTTGATGGGTGACGTAATTTTAAAACTGATTTAGATATATTAATATTAATTTTTTGTAAAACAAATGTTAAATTTCTTCTTAGCATGTATGACTTTCACTGAGCCCTGAGTTGGGATTTCGTGGGGTAATTTTCTGAATATTATATTATAAGGTATTTCTCCCACTTCCCCAGCGTGCCTTTGTGGTGTAGTGGTTCTGCACACTGAGCCGGTATTTCAGAGGTCCGTGGTTCGATTCCCGGCGAAGGCGGTTGAATATTTTTCATCTTTTTTGCTTCCAATTAACCTAATGACTCTACAATATAAACGGTACAAAATTTCAACAAGATCGGAATTACTGTAGATTTCCATGTACACAGAAAAGAACGGACACTCTTCTTTATACATGTTTGTAGATTAACTACTTCAAATACAAAATTACAGGAAATTATTAACTGATCATGGAATAAATGGTTTGGATTTAAATTTAATTTTGGACAATATTAAAATATTGCGTAGTTAAGAAATTTGTCTATTTTATTATCTTATTTCAAGACCTGCCTTCTGAAGAAATGTTATACGCAGTATTTTGATTTGTCTTTTAAACTCTTTAGATTATTCTATTCTTTTAAAATTGTTGTATTCATTTCTTGTTTATAATTTTCGGATTTTTCTTTTCACTTATATGTCAAAGCACTACGTTCTAGTTGATCCAAAATCTATGTAAAAAATATTTTTCTATTCTGCATAAATGACAGTAAATTTAATTTAATTTTTGCCATTTGAACGGAGTTTGTACATAGAGTAACAGTAAAATAATACCGTAAAACATAACTTCATTCTTGACTGAAACGGAACTCTTGAATGAAAAATTTGCAAAGAATTTGGAAAGCCATTCATGAATTTCAAGAATTGTAAAGTACTAATAACAAAGGGTTTTTATTTTTATTTTATGTTCTTTCCGCTGCCCTTTCAACAAGGCATTGGGAACTCAAACATCGAATTAGTTTTGACAAACAAAAGTGTTAATGAGGACAAATGGATTCTTCACTAAATTAGATTAAGAGACTGAGGAGATTCTGAGGATGCCCCGAGGGAAATTCAGCACGAGAAGAATTAATGATTAGGTGAATGGGAAAACGAGTTCTGATTGCTGGGATTTTTTTGTTCATCAGAGATTTTAGTAAGATTACCGAGATCGAAACTCTGAAATAAGAAAAATCAAAGTTGGGGAGAAATTTAAGATAAGGTCGACGTATTTATACCTATTTGAGATGAAATTAATTTATTGTTTATTGATAAGGATTAGTTTGAGGTACATTGTATCAGTCAGCAGTTTAAGTTCTTAATAAACGTTCTTTTAAAGTTTAAGTTCTTTTGTTAGAAATACATTTTGCATGCTCTTTTTTTTTTCCCTGATTCACTTCTCGGTTTTTAAGTGTGACATGCAGACGTTATTTGAAAAGGAAATTTTTAGGGGAAAAATTTAATTAAAGTATTTTTAAGGCAATTAAGATTAAGAATTATTTTTTCGTTTCCTCACATTTTGTTATGTTAGGTATGATAGTTGTTATGTCAAAGAATTTAATTTAAATATGAAAGAGTATGGGATAATTGTTCGGTGACTATAGAGTAAACATTTACGCCTTGAAACTCCATGAAATTAAACTTCTTTTTCTACGATTTTCCTCTATAATTTTCTGATATTTATGAAATTTGTTTAGAAACTTTTTAAAAAATAACTCATTGCAAAGTGAAGTAACTCACAGCAAGTGAAGGTTTTACTGTTTTAGATCAGAATATCAAAAATCGTTAATAAACATAAAGGATCAAAAATTAAACTGGAATCAAGACAAGGTAAATATTCTCCATTAATAACAATAATTGAAACCGTGGAAAACGGTCAGCATTGCAACTAATTATAAACAAAATTAATATAAGAGTTCATCAGTAGAATAAATCCAAAAAAAAAAAAAAAAAAAAAAAAAGGCAAACTGGTAAAGATATAAAAATAAAAATAAAAATAAAATGCAATTTGCAGTTTTTATTTCTCTTACCATGGTAAGGGAAATAAAAACTACAGATTAATTTCCTTTGTCTGAAACCACTATTTAGGTAAGTTAAACTAAAATCTGATAAAAAAAGATTAATGTAGCTCGAACACATGTTTCGTTCTCCTGAATTATTTGAAATCAAAACCCGAAAACGATTCAGTCAAATTTTCAAAAATTAATTAAAATTTAATTAAAACCGAAAGACCGAATCTCAAATATCTTCAGAATTTTCCCTAGATGCATTCGAGCATTTACATATAATCGTAACTTTTTTATTTTTTTTCGCTGTTCATATAACCCTTACTTATCCTAATAAAAGAAGTTCGTCGCCGTAATAAATAGCAGATATACCTCAGTTTGAAATTGTTAAAAATTACGGCACTTAATATTGTAGAGTTATTAGAATTTTTTGAAATAGGAAACATGAAAAATGAGCAATGCCCTCGCCGGGACTCGAATCTGGAACTTTCGAATACGCGCCGAGTGTGCTACTGTTACACTACGAAAAGTATGTTATACAGAAAATACTGTATAACATACTTTTCAGTCGCCTATTTTCGACACACAGAAGCAATTGTCAATGCTGTGTGATTTAGAGCCAATGACGGATAAGCTTGCAAGATCTCACTTTGGTTTTACGGAACCTCGATCACGAATAAACCAGTTTAAGTTTTGTAAAGCCGAATATATGTTAAATGCTATTTATCACGTTTTTTCTTACATTTAACAAACTGTTTAAAATTTCTGATTTGCTTGACAGAGGAGAATGCAGTGAAGTAATTTAAGTAACAGAATTGTTTATATTGTAGAGCATACTTGCAGCATAGAAAGATTCTGGGATTGGACAAAATTGTGCAGGAGAAGACAAAGCGCAATGAATAGCACCAGTTAGATTTGCATTTAATAGAATTTATATGGCTTTATGTTAAACAGAATTTTGCTGTTATTTTGAATGCTAGTAGAGAATTTTGGTCGACGGAAGTTTAGTCAAGTTATTTCAAAGTTTGACTTCATATACTATATTTAAGGATTTTAAATCCTATATCCATAATTTCTTTCTGTTGAATATCTTGTGATAAGGTTACATAAAAGAAGAAGAGACTGAAGATTTATATGGACAAGGATGTCTCGAGAATAAACTGAAAATTATTATTTTTTAACTTACAAACACGTTTTCAATAGTTGTTAAAATAGTCTTTATTAAAATAATTAAATCGTTGGCAATGTTAAAACGCAAGCTCGAGAGCCACGAATTGCTCTAGCACGTAAAATGTATAGAATTTGATTTTTGATAGAGATAGGGTTTTCTCTGCAGAATTGTATGTAGCCATTTTTTTGCGTTCAATAACATTTTTATGCTGTGTTTTGTTTTGAACCTGATGTCACAACCCAGGTTTTGCATAGCGGTTTCGGAAACTACACCACAATCTTATTAACAAAGAAATATCTCTTATTATAAATTAAAAAGCGTCCTGTTCTTTCAAACGTTAGCCAGAATGATCGACTCCATTGTGGCGAGATTTCAATTAACTTGCATGAACGACGGAAAAATATGTGAGCATCAAAAATGCTATACTTTGTAAGGTTTTATTGTAACTAAATCTTCTTAGCATATTGGCTGTTCTATAACTACTAATTTTCTCAAATTCTACCACAAAACAAATTGGTTTAAGTTTCTAGGTTCCGAATTTTTTAGAGAGAGCGCTTAGCTCAGCATTATACTACTTCCCTTTCTGTTTCAATTTCAAATAATGGCGTACATTTCTGCTGAGATGAGACTGCTTCGTCAATACTTTGTCAAGGAGAAGTTTAACAGGGAAGCGTGTTTGTTTTGTACTCTGGAGACGTAAAAACAAAAAAATAAACTAAATGAATAAACCAAATAAAATTTTTAAATTGTGCCAGATTTCGACTTTTTTGGTAAATTATTAAAATTAAAAAATAATTAAAATTACCAAAAAATTATCAGTAATTTTAATAAATGAATTTAATATTTAAATTCAAATATTTTTTTATTTAAATTCAAATATTCAAATATTTAATATTTAAAATTTAAATTCAAATAAATAAAATAATTAAAATTACCAAAAGAATCGAATAATGAATTAAAATTACGAAAAAATCGGTAAATTTAATAAATGAATTTAATATTTAAATTTTTCGAATATTCGAAGTTTCAGAAAAGAGAAACAGCAAATATTTTTAAATTGTGTCAGATTTGCCTGAGATTTGGCATGCCTGAAAATAATTTGCAATCCTTTTTTTATAGTTTTCAGGAAAATAAATTATTTCTGCATTTAGTAGCTAAATCGTCTTAAATTATCAAATTTTCTAAAACCGGAAACTATAAATACCATAAAAGTACGCTACCTTTCGATATTGTTATATTTTATTTAGCTAGTTATATCCGAATAAACTTTTCAATTTGTCTTTATGATATGTGGAAACTACCAAATCTTTCTAAATTTATTATTATATTTAAATCTCCTTGGATAATTAAAGTTTTAAAAGAGAGACATATCAAGTATCTTAACATGACTTTAGATATAATTTTTTGATAATTTCTAATTTCTCTTTAACTGTTCATATCTGAGAATAATTTTAAATTCTTCTCTGCGAGTATTCAGATCCTCTGTAATTAACAAATTTTCAATAGAGAGAAACTATAACTATCTCAAAATTTAACTCGATATAAATGTTTGAATATTTCTATTTAAATAGGCGTACCTGACAATACTCTGCAGTTCTTCCTTATGATAATCCCTTGGACCCATCTTGAAGAGAATAAGTTTATCCAGAACAGAAACTCCAGATGTACGAGGCTTTTTTTCTGAAAGTTAAACAATGTTATTATGAGCACATTGTATTGCATTTTCATTTTCCTTCAGCTATTACGATTCTTAACAAGGAAAATATATGAAAGAAAAAGAAAATTTATAAAAAATCATAGAAGACAAACAGAAAAATGTTTTCTAACATCAATAAAAATGTACATCAAAATTAATTCAATAATACTCGAATAAGGTTTCTTAGAATCAAAAAGAAAAATACACTGTAAAGTATACCATTGAATAATTTAATAAGAGAAGTTCTATATTTTCCACAACGATAAATAAATATCAGATAAAATGGCTTGAAATTTAAAACAAACCCTAATCCTACGACAAACTACTGAAGGAAATAATTAGGAGAAATATAATAAAATCCAGAACAAGTACACAGAAAGGTAAAAATGAAAAGAAAAAAAAAAAAAAAAAAAAAAAAAAAACCTAATTTCTCATTTATCGCATTTTACGTCTCAATTATTACATCTTAATCCCTAGTCGTAAATTAATACGGGTATTAAGTGAATGAATTTGCGTTTCAACAGGGAAACAAAATAAATTAAATCTGGAGTTGAATAAATTACTAGGGATACCACGAGAAAAATTCGATCTTCTCTGCTTTCTGCCATAACTATTTTTTGTTTTTTCTTTAATTTTGTATTGTAATGCTAAGAATATTAGTAACAAAATCGACGTTCACTGTTTAAAACAAAGATGAATTTTGTAAACAAAGAATGTAATGAATATCATCTTTTCGCATTACACTCTATTATATGTTTTGTCATATAATCGTTTCAAAAATAACGGTTTAGATTTTAGTTGAATAAAGGTTGTTATAGATACTTATCTGATGATGTTTAGTCGATATGGTTAGAGATTATTAGGCCTTTACTGATTATAATTCCTAATCGTGACCATCAGTTTTAACTCATACAATATATGATGTTATATCATTTTATATTTTGTGTTAAAATGTAATTAATTTCGCTCACCTTTTGTAGTGTTATATGCATTTTGAATAATATATTTATTTTGTTAAAAATTTTTGTATTTTAAAGGCAGCATTTTTGGTAAAACAAAATACTAGCAAATTATCAGTAAACCGAGTTTATGGCCAGTTTTGCTAATTTACTGATAACTGAAAATATTGCTAAATTCACGTCTCTTACCTACGATCAACGACAAATGTACCCATTGCTCTGATTTACGATTCTTCATTGATCTAGCGATATTATATTTACAATAACAGTACTGATTTTAGAAAATAGATAATGTTTCATTAAAACAATTAGAAAGTATTTACAGTCAATTCGAGATCAACCGTATTGCGTATTATACAAGACTTGTATGCATAAGAGTTAAATGTGTTTATTGTGAAATGATAAAAAAATATAATCACATCTTTCAGCATGAAACAAAATTGTCCACTGAATGCATAAAAAAGAAAACGAAAAATAGACGTGATAACATTAACGATAACAAAAGATGTCAAAGGGTTTGAGAGTTGTTTTCATCCACTACAAAATCCAATTCAATTGCACATAATCAACAACATGTAATATTGCACAGTACAAAGTAAAAGTTCTAACCGTCTTTATTTTGCGAGTTTGAATTAGAAGGTTTTGTAAACATTATTCTTTAATGCCATTTATATCTCATTTTCGTTATTTTTAAAACTGTTTAGTTTTTGGGTTTTTATATATATAGCCTATACTACTTGCGTTTGCTGATACTGATTCATTTGCGTACCTCAAGTATTAACGCATAACCCAAAGCCAATCTCAGGATTAAAGTGCCTGAATTTGCGAAACCCAATGGGAATTTATTCGCATTATTAAAGTATTCGAAAATGCTGATAAATAATGAATAGTATTTTACTGCTAACTTGTAATGTGGGTTATTCCGTTTTCCTGTGTTTGTTTACTTGTCTACGGATGAGCTATGGTTTTGAGTTAAATGTGACCGCAGTTTAAATGAAGTCAGCCACTTTTCTCCGAGAAAAAAGGCCTTTTTTCATTCCTTGAAGAAACTTATTACCTCCCTTTTGATTTTATTTACTCATTTTCGTGATGTTATTTTGATGTAGCATTTCATGAGATAACAAAACGCCACTAAATTGATTTTACGATCACTTTAAAATAAAAAATTCAATTTAAGTGTTTGGAGCTACTTAAATATTTTTTGTACCTAACGCAGTTAGTTACCCAACATACTCAGCTCAAGAAGAAGATTTTCTGTCGCTCAGTCTATGTCACTTTGGTCTATGTATTCGCAACGATATTCAATAAAATGTTACAAGGATGGAAGACTTCATTCTTTCCAACATAAAGAAATACAAATGTGTCGAATATAGTGTTGGTCGTGAATGATAAGCAAATGTCTATAGACATAGCTTTGATCGATATTTTTACAGATGTAAAGCGTGTTCTACGAATATTGAAGGGTGCTATCTAAATATATTTGGAAATATGTTCCATATTTTGTAGAAAAAGAATTTATTTTAAGGAATAATTTTTAAATATATTTCTATCCAAAATGTTTTGCCTTTAAAGTCGAGAAATGATTGATAATTTATTTTTTGAATATTTAATCGTATATTTTCCAATTTCATAAGAACAAACCTAAACTTTTAAAGTTTGAGAATACATGCCTGTGATGTTATCAGCATGCGATAATTTCTTTTTATCACGATAATTTACATCACAGCGTTTAAAACTTTCAACTTTCTAATCGTTTTATTTTCGACAACGATGTTTTAGAACTGCGAACTTATTTTCTTCACGACGTTCACCTCTGCGATGGTTTCAGCACTTGTCTTGTGTGTGGTATAAATTTTGATAGATGTAAAATCCTTTTTATGTTGGAAGACGTTGAGAACGTTCATTTCATAACAGTAGCTTATCCATAACTCAAATAATATTAGTATCATGCGATAACTGTCCAGCCATCACACAACATACTTCTTTGGACAACCATTAGTCTTGAGAACAAATAATCAACGTTGATTTAATACAGTAGAAGATTAAATTTACAAATCCAAACTTTGATAGTCGATATCACTCATCAATGAGAGTGCAAGAAAACGGTCTAATGTCAAGTTCTTAGAAAAAGACTTACGAAAGATGAAAAAAAAAGGAAAATTTTCTTCTATTTTTACATTTTTAAATTCTGGACTTATAATATTTTACACATTTTTAATATAATAGAAAGCTTCGGAAGTCCAGGTCCTCCTGAAAGTAGAAAGACATGCCTTGTCTGGCCGAAGGGCAAATAGAACCCGATTTTCCCAAACAGGTTCTGATTTTCCATATTGCTCTCAAGACCTCCAGATCCTATTTCTATCAAAAGATTCTTTATTTAGATACGAACAGTATCGGAATGAGATTTTATTTATCTGATTTGCATAAAGAAATTTTCGACCTCGATAGTTTTGCAAAAATCGAGATACATGGTCTCATGGGGAAAAGATCTAAAGAATTCTTTAAAAAAAAATCAAATATCTTAAAAGAATTTAAATATCGTCAAAGACTCCAAATATCAAAAATACTTTGTAGTACACGTATGCTGGTAAAGAACTTTGATATTCGAGGTCTTTTATATTTCAAGGGACTAAGCAAATAAATGTTGGCTATTTTCTTTTGATGAAAAAGTATCCTCAAGAAAGTTAGGATTTATTAAAAAGGTTTAGTTTCATGTTTAAAGGTTTTCACGAAAACAAATTGATGCTGCATTTGGAATTCGTATTGAAGAATTGCAAAGCGGAAATAAGAATACAATTCGTAATTCTTAGATTCATTCTTATTTAAGTATTTGGTCTTAAGATATTACCAGATAACAAAGATTCGATCATCGGCAGCATCAGTATACAAAAGTCACAAAAGATCATTTTCTCTAAATGTCTTATAATATTTTTGAATTACATTATAATTTTCCATAAAAATTCCATGCGAAAGCTTTCGTTTCAAAGAAGAGAAGAGTGAGGAGGAAAAACGAATTGTGTATTAGTCTTTTCCATTTTTCGGTAGTAGTATTCAAAGAAACTGCAAACGAATTTTCATTCCTAATGTACAATTAACCTTTCCCGAATTACTTTAAGATTACATATTTTTTATTACAATTGCATGCAAAAATTTTCTTTTCGAAGAACAAAAATACAAAGAAGCTAGAATTGTGTATTAATCTTTTAGGATTTCTTGTACGAGTACATATACAGGAGTTTGTAATAATGTTTTCAGTGGTATCAATGATAAAAGATGTTGCGAATAAATTTTTATTCGTATTGTATCATTATCTTCCCGAATCGCGTAATGATACATGAGTTACTTCTCAATGTTCTCTAGTAATTCCTTGCAAAACTTTCTTTTACAACGCCCTAACCGATATGGTAGTTAGCTATTTTGGCTTACCTATGATTGACCTCAGATTCGAACAACGGAAAAGAATTGAATGTTTGTAAGAGTATGGTACTTGTAGCAATTGAGGGCACTTTATAAACTGCAGAGTCGAAAGCCCTTCTCGAGGGGTTTGGTGGAAAGGGAAGAGAAATGAGAGCCATGGAATCCATCTCCCGCAGTTCTCCGTCAAAATTCGGAGGGAACTTTCTCTTTCCCTGTAGTTTTAGTTGGTCTCCACCCCTGTGATGATCCCTGAGCAATGTTCTTGGTGTTGAGACGGTTAAGTGCCGATGGGTTTTGGTCATTACTAACGAATGTATTAAGTGAGAAACGCCGGACCATTTGGAACAACAAGCTTCTTTTCCAAGGAAGAAGGAAAGGAGGGAAAAAAAGGTTAAAATCTAAGTGTGATAATTCTCATAAACGTTTTTTAAGGAATATGTATAATATCATGTAAAGAGTTCAAAACAAGAACTCCTAGTAGTATACTAATGTTACCATTGATATTATTACTAAAACAATCTCTAATTTTTTCCTCTAAATGCATCATTATCTTTCTTCTCATTATGTTCCATTATTTTAAAATTTTTGTAACAGTTCCATAAAAAGCT